CTTCTGAACTAACACATCCAATTTCCTTCAGCAACCTTTTGGTCATGCATTGATCTAAAAGACTTTTCTTTATTCACCACCAACCCATACAGACCCGGAAAATCCTCTCTAAGACTTTTCCTATTCCACCATTTATCCACCCAGAATCTAACATTATTCCCATCCCCAATCTTAAGCTGAAAGTTATTCATGTAGTACTCGAAGAGGGTGTTGTTAAACTCTGCAATGGTAACTATACCTCTCCAAACACTAGACATTCTACAGGTGGTAGAAGTGGGAGGGATCCATTTACAAAATGGTGTTAATAGTCGTTTAATTTGTTCATGTTATCTTTACTTTTCATGGACTATTTTCAATTTATGTCCAATTTTACAATCTGAGTGATGTGCCAATATTTTCACAAAAAAATTACTTGACATTATTTTTGTTTTTCTTTTGTACAGATGAACTCGTGCATGAAGGTGAATTGTACAGGACTAGCTGGCACTTGTTACATTTTTTGAAGGATTATATATTTTATTTGGGTAGACTACTAGTTATATTTTTTGATAGATGCATGTGGATAAAAATTTAAAACATAATAACAACTACTTGTTATGTTTTAAATTTTTATACTGGATGGATGTGAATTGGATAATTATATAGATTACATGACCTACTTAAATGGACGATTATGTAGTTTGAAATTGCTTGTGGGTGAAAACTTATAATAATTGACTATTTTAATTAAACAGGTTAATTTTTGGCTGATTTATGTTTTTTGTTGAATGTTCATGATTAAGTTGATTTTGTTGGTTTGAATGATTCTTGCAAATTACAGGTTAAATTGAATGGTTTGGATGGATTATTATATATCATATAGGTCAAATGAAATTCTTTTTATATTTTATATATATTTTGATAAACAAAGGCGGTGTTTGGCAACTAGGTTTTTGGTTTTTTTTTTTTTTTTTTTGATTTTTTTCACTACAAGACAAATGTTTTACAAAACCAAAAAAAAATCAATCCAAACAAAATATCACATCAAACCCCATAATCATTTCACTTTTTCCCTCACAAACATCATATCCAACCACAAAAAAACTCAACTATCTTCCCAAACACAAAAAAAAAAAATTCTCCAATAATATCCTACAACTAAAAAAACCTACAAAAAAACCCACTTCCCAAACGCCCGTAAAAAGAATTGAATAGCGACCAAAATTTGGTTTGGTTTTTCCTCTTTTGGCGACCAAGTGATTAGTCAGTGTTTCACCATTCACATTTGGCGACCAAAATGTTGGTAGACGAAAGGGTACATTTGGCGACTAAATAATTAGTTAGTAAAATCATTAATTTTGGCAACCAAACTGTTTGGTTACGAATAGGTCTATTGCCAACTAAAGTTTTAGTCGTGCAAACATTACTTTTGGCAACTAACAATTTTGGTCGGGGAATATGACAATTGGCAACTAACATATTTAGTCGGGAAAATATCACTTTTAGCGACTAAAGTGTTTTAGCTACAATCACGGTAATTATGTATTTAGCGACCAAAAATTTAGTCAGCAAATAGAACTTTTTCCCAACTAAAAACATTTTTAGTCACTAATTTCTTTTCTCGAACCGCAATTGGCAACCAAAGTGGCGACCAAAAAAAATAGTCGCGGATAACTTTTGCTAATTAAAAATGGACTTTTGCCCACTAAATTTTTAGTCGGCAAAAATGAGATTTCCTTTAGTGCAATATCACTAACCTGAGAATGATGAATCTAGATCTGAAACGATGCCACCACTGCTGCTCCACCAATGAATCTAGATCTGAAATGATGCCACTGCCGTTGCCATTGCCATTGCCATCGACTTCCTCAAACACTGTCTCTGCATCCCCGATTTCATATTACCAAATCGATTCTTTGCTCACCCTAACTTAGATCTGGAATTGAGACGGCTTGTTTTGGAAACCCTATAGATGGTAGAAGAGAAGAGATGATGAGAGAGAGAGAAAGAGAAAGAGGTTTGAGACGATACCAGATCAAGACTTCGAAAACAATCTTCATTCTTCACAATTACGATGGTAGCGGAAGAGGTGATGATAGCAGTAACGACGATCAAGTTCTTGTAGGCGACAGAGAAGGACCGATAGTAGAGGACACATTGACTTGTAGTGGTGTGGCCATGAATGATGATGATAAAGAAGTGCGTTTGGTCTTGAAATTGTGATTTCTAAGGAGATAAATAAGCAAAATTGAGCATTTCGAGCCACCACTGCCACAGTGAGGCAATGAAAAGATAGAGAGCTTGGTTGAAGTGGTAGAGGAGAGAGAAGCTAAGAATGATGAGCGAGAGAGGAGAGCAGACAAAGTGAGAGATGATGCGGAGAGAGAGAGAGAGAGAAAAGTGGTTTGGGTTTGGTTGGGTTTAAAATAGAGAGAGAGAGAGAGAGAGAGAGAGAGAGAGAGAGAGGTGACTTAGAAAGAGAGGGAGATGAGTTTGATGGTAGAAACGGAAGAGGACGGGTTTTGAATATAAGGAATAGCTTCCCTCCAGTCCGATCAAGGATTGGAGGGTACTGTTGGGTCCGTAGGGATCCACCACGGGTCCCATTTCGATAATCCGAATTGTTAAATGTGTAGAACTCGTCAAGTATTATATGCCTGTAAGAAATCACGTTGATCGGATATCGATAGTTATGTAATCAAATCAGTTTTGTATGAAAAAAATGGACGGTAAAAAATAAATGGCTGACAAAAATATGATTTGATCACATAGCTATCGATATCCAATCAACGTGAGTTTTTATAAGCATATAGTACTCGACGAGTTCTATACATTGAATGATTCAAATTATCGAAACAGGACCTGTGGTGGGCCCCAACAAGCCCAACAATACCCTCTAGTTCGTGTGATCGGACTGAAGGGAAACCATTCCCTTAAATATATAAGGGTAGTTTGATCATTTCATAGAGGCATGTCTTTATGAATAGAATAATTTAGTAATTGGACAATTCAACCAAAGAAATTTAGGTAGTGTTTGGTAGAGTTTTCTAAATATGATTTGAGAATAGATTTGTATTTTGAGTTTGTGAATTTTGAAATTATGATTGGAGTGTAAAAAATTTGTTATTATGAGTTTTGAAAAGAGTTTTGAATTGAGTGTTGAATTGAGTTTTGAATGTTAGATGTGATATGTAAAATAAGAAAATTTGTATGGTTATGAGTTTTCAAAACTTAATTCAAAAAATTATAACTCATAACCAAACACATAACTCAAAACTCTATTGAAATTTCTGATCAACACTCATAACCAAACTCTTTTTAAAATTCAATTCAAAAAATTAATTATTAACAAAAAATAACACTCATAACCAAACTCATTTTAAAATTCAATTAAAAAAATTAATTATTAACAGAAAATAACATAATTTTTTTTAATTGAAAATAACTCAAAAAGTTATAATTCATAATTAAACACACAATTCAAAACTCTATTAAAAATTTTATTCAAAACTCATAATCAAACTCTTTTTTAACATTCAAATAATAAAAAAAAATGTCATATGGTTATGAGTTTTCAAAACTTAATTCAAAAAATTATAACTCATAACCAAACACATAACTCAAAACTCTATTGAAATTTCTGATCAACACTCATAACCAAACTCTTTTTAAAATTCAATTCAAAAAATTAATTATTAACAAAAAATAACATAATTTTTTTTAATTGAAAATAACTCAAAAAGTTATAATTCATAATCAAACACTCAATTCAAAACTTTATTACAAATTCTATTCAAAACTTATAATCAAACTCTTTTTAACATTCAAATAAAAAAAAATGTCATCTTGGTTTTAAAAAATAATTTTTATATTTAAAAAGTATCAAAAATAAATATAAATTTTTTTCTTCCAAATAATAGGTGGCGATTGGCGATTGGCAATTGCACAAAAAAAAAAAAAATTTACATTGCTTTGGTCAACTGATCGGTCAACCAGCTGGACATCCGGGAGGATGACCAAGTAGACTTAAAATTCAAAAATCTTGTGTTTTTCAGAATAGAGAACATGAAAGTGAGAGACTAGCCAAACGTGAAGGAGAATTACATTTTAAAAATGTGTGGTGGAATCACATTTTGAAAACTCTATCTAAACATGAAATGTACATGGAGGGGTGAAATTACATTTCCAAAACACAACCAAACACAGTCTTAAATTTGAATTTTTTGTCTGAGCTCCCAAAAGAAAAACCTCTACTCTTCACTGACATTTAATTTCTCTTTTCACAAATGGGCGAATTCTACGCATCCCTTACTATATGCACCCTTAATTATGCAATTTTCTTTTTTAGATATGACATTATTTTGATATGCTTGGTTATGGTTCATATAGTGTTTGGTTATTACTCTTTTTTTTATTTTTTTTTTTATTTTTAACTTGTGATTCAAAAAGTATAGAATTATGTAATTTTTTTCTTTAATTATAAAATACATATAATACACATATTTTGAAGGGTGTATATCATAAATGCCTATAAAAATAAAAATAAAAAAGTAATTTTACAAATGAATTAAAAAATAAAATAAAATAAAAAATTTGAGGGGTTGCCCTCATCTCAATCCTCTCACTCTATAAAATGTTAAACAAGGGGAGGACGAGGTTGTTAGAAGAAACCCTAACGCCTCTCTGCGGAAGTGGAGTTGGTGCTCTCAAGTCCTTTAGAATTCCATAATTTTTGCCTTTCTTGCTGAAACTTTCAGTCTAATTATTATTGTTGATTAGCACTTTTTCTGGTTCATCAATCGCTTTCGTGAGGCGTTGCGTTCTTCGATCGCCGATGGACGTGTCAACGAAAGCGTAAATTTAATCTCAATGCCGACACAACTCTTTCTTTATACATCTGCGATTTGTTAATGGTATCGTAGTTTGTTTCATACTCGGCTTGATAAATCATTCATAGATATATGTATGTATTTGCTCAATTTTATTATGTGATTAGGGTTTTGATGACAATGAATTTGGGTGTTGCTTCTTACTGGTGAACTCTCTCTGTTTTTTAACAAACAAAAGTGAGAGATGTTCATTGTTTCCGAATCATAGATCGATTTGCTTTTGACACAATTAAACAGCTCGCCGCATCACACGAATCACGATTGTGTTTTGTTGCATCATGCTACCTCTCTCCTGGTATAATTTTACTATTTTTTTTTTTTAGCTTGATGCTCTTGAGATTTGGTTTTTCGATTGAATTGAATTTGTGTATGGATAAAATTCAATTGAGAGGATTTCAAATTTTTTTTTTCTTTCCCTTTTCTTGAGAATTCAAATATAATCTATATATCAAATGGCAGAGAAATGGCAGGCTGGTTGGTTGCATAGATAGAAGCTGAAAAAATGTCACCCCCAGGGTATTAATGTCTTATGAATAAGAGTTAAACTTCGTAATTTCAAACCACAAAGTGGTGTTATACGCTTGCTTCTATTTACACATCATAGTTTACCTCAATACACACCATTTCTAGTTCACACCACCACACCATCTTCATTTTTTATTGTTTTCTCAATTCACACCCTTTATGCCCAAAATACCCTAACCCTACCTACCCCCAACCCACCCACCACTAGATCCGGCGACCCACCCTTGTCGTCATGCACCCTCCACAACCCATCCCAATTGCCACCGTCCCTTTCCCAGACTCTTTCAACCCTTTCTTGCCTCAACTCTGCCCCACTCCGACACCTCCACAACCACACCTCGCCATTACCGCAGCCTTACTGATCGCCACCCCCAACCTTTACGATTGACTAAGATCAATGAATGATCAATCGAACAGACAGAGAGAGAGAGAGCAAGCGAAGAAGAGAAGAAGAGGTCGTGATGGGAGGGGTTCGCCAAAGGGAATGCTGGAGAGTTGTTGCAGAGGGAAGATGGTACCAGATGTAGGGGGCAGCGGGGGAGGCGGTGGAAATGGGATAGATGGCAACCGGCGGTGGTGGGATTGAGGTGGGTGGGAATGGTGCTATTGGAGGTAAGGGGTGGCAACTGGTGCTGGTGGGGTTGGAGGAGGTGGCAGCCGATGGTCATGGGGTTGGGAAGAGGTGGCAACCGGCGGTGGTGAGTTGAGAGGGAGGGAGGATGTGTAGGTAATTTAATTAAAAGATATAATTGTAATTAAAAAAAATAGAATAATGGTGTGAATTGAGACAATAGGTGGTGTGCAAATAGAAGTTCTCGTGTTATATGGCTGCCTAATCGATTCAACTAAGCTAATTTTTCAAAAACAATTTTTTTAACTAAGTTAAAATAATTAATTTTTTAACAAGTCTAAATAAATTTAAAAAAATTTGGCCATTGATTTAGACCCCCTTAAAATACCCACCCCACATCCCCTCACACACATGGATGGAGATTGGGGATTGGGTGAGAAGAAGAAGAAAAAAAAAAAAGTTGACCAATCAAAACAGGTAAAAATACACCTCCCCCTTGTCTTCTCAAAATTTTTTTTTTTTACCCATCTCATCTATTGTCTAGATGCTCCCTTGGGTTATGTATTAATGGTAAATTGAGTTTTTGGTGTGTATGCATGTGTGGGTGTGAATTGGTGACATTGTCTTACAATTTTATTCAAAATATGCACTGCTGCAATTTCTAATATTTAAAAGAAATATCAAACCTATCTATTTCTCAAATCTGAATTTATTGTAAGATAATTGGAACAAGGCCTGAGTATGGGGAGTCTGACTACTTTTTATTAAATTGTAGGAGATCTACGCATTATTCATATAGAATCAATAGTAAAAAACAATGTGGATTGAAGTGATTTTTTTATTCAATCAGTATAACATTAGTTACAAATATATATATATAATAAAAAAAATTATTTGAATAATTATAATTTAGCAATGTATAGTTAGAAAACCAACCACTACTAAGCCCAACGATTATGAGAAATAATTCAAATTTATGAAAGAAGGAAACAATTATATGCAACTCCAGAATGGGAAAAAATAATCAATTTTGTTTCAACAATGGACTCTTTAATCTTCGCAATAGAAGTATATGTATATATACTTCTATAAGGGTAGCTAGTTGGCTTATTGGCTTAGCGGAACTTTAGTTTTTTAAAGTTCAAAAAAAATATTTTAAGTTAATGTGGGTGAACAAATTTAGGTGAACATTCTTATTAAATTTTATTCATATGTAAAATTTATACAAAAAATTTTACTATAATTATGTGACCATATTATGTATAAAAATTGATAAGTGAAAAGTTCATATGAAACAAAATAATTATGTATATATAAATTCTTTATTTGTACAAGTTACATAGAATATTTATTATCGTTACACAATATATTTACTTAGGAATTGAACACCATGTTTGTTAGTATTTGTGTCACTAAATATAGATCAATAGTAACAAATGGAACACAATAACCCAAACACCCAAAACTTGAATTTCTAGTAGTTAAAAGTTGCTTCATTTGTTCATTGATTGATGATAATGTTACATCATTACAACCCCATTACAACCCCATTAATGAAGGCAAAAAAGGAAGGGATAGTGTAGAGAAATTATATGTAGTAGAAAAGAATAGTTTTAGTAGTAGTAATCACTCATAAAAAATAAAATAAAGTGTTGAAATTCAACAATAGCATGGTGAATCTTGATCACACATTAAATTTTATGAATATTTTTCTATGCACACAGATTCTGTCTATAACATTATGATACATCATGAATATTTAGTTTAGTCCCTACAACAACGATACATGGTGAACTTCTCCATATGCCTCTTGCAAGTAGCACAAACAACCATCTCAGGGATGTTCTCGACGGTACAAGAGAAGATTAGATGGTCGCAGTATTGTGGGGTAAGAAGCTTATTAAGATTATCATTGAGTGCATTCACAAAACCAACCTCTCCAATGTGATCCTTCCATTGATCAAATTGAGCTAAGCTTTTCAAAATGGTGTCAGCCTTGGCTTTAGCCATCTCACTCTTGCCTCACTAATCACAGCCCATCCTTTGTCACTTCCATCAAAGCTTAGAATTGTCATGATCTCATTCATTATGGGATCATTCTCTAGTCTTACCATGTTGCATTTTGGAGTGCCACATGCTCTCTAGCCTCACCCAAAAGAACCATATGAGAGTTGGGTCTGGCAATATGTGAATGAGTTTTTCAGCCAAAATGATATTGCTAATCTTCCAAACTTTTTTCCTCGGATTGTTTTTTCCTACATACATCATCTCTAATGGGATGCCTGCGGCTTCTGCAACAACGCGTGTCATGTTGGTAAATCTTCGGATCCAATCTAGGTTCTCTCCTCCATACAAGCAAATGTACTTCCCATCTTCAATCTAAAGTAACAAAAAAAATCACATTTTATAGCAACAATGCTATTATAAAATGATAATAATAATAACAACAATGCTATCTATTTTGAAAACCACCCTCAATTTGAAATCTACAGTATAATTCCAAATTATTAATCATTGCTATTGGATTACAATCAAAATGAATCTACCCTTAGTTTGTAAACTCAGAATATTATTTTAAATAAAATTTCTAAATTAATAACATTATTGTTTTAATAATTCGATAGCGACAATTTTTCCAACACTCCCAATATTCAAAACTTCCATAATGACAAATGGTTGATAATATTACCAACCATCAATCAATGGATATTCAAAACTTCTATAATGACAAATGGTTGATAATATTACCAACCATCAATCCATAAACGGAGCTTGTTGGCCAAAATTTTTGTTCTTAACCAATGGAAGTTCGATTTATGTACCAAATATATATATATATATATATATATTAAATGATAGTGGTACTATACGTACCAATTGGTATACTAATTAGTATACTAATATATGCTATAACATTATCACTTGAAAACTATGGACCCTACTCATTATATAAATTACAAAAATTCAAAACCTTTAAAATTATGTCATATCATTCATTAATACACTAATTGATATACTAATTGATATACCAATGCGTGTGTATCGCTTTATTCATTAAATAAATAAATATGAGAATAGTCCTACCCAATTAAGAATTGATTGATCAATGGTATCTGCTAATAACTCAATCGTCCAAGTTGAACCCTCCCAAAGTGCTTCCTCTGTGAGAGTAGTACATGGGAAAGCCAGATTTCCCCAAATCCAACACATATGGATTGCATTTAGGATTCACAACTATACCATGTGGGTCTAACACCTAAGCAAAGGCTTCTTGTTGAAGTGCCAAACTTCCTTGATATACTTGATGGCCGTTGGATCAAGTAGTGAAGGGTGGTGCACAGAGAACCATGGCCTTGAAACTTGTATGGACTTGAACTTCCTTTCCTCCACCTCATCCCATGTGGTTGTTCTGTCCACAATAGGGAACCAGACAACCTCGTACGTTGTCGTTGGATGTTGTCGGGACTTAGTGTACATTTGTCCAAGAATGAAATGTTCTTCATGGGAGAAGTCCAAGTTTGAAATGAGTAGCAACACATTCTTCCTCCTCAGCACATCAATGGTTACCTGCATTTGTCGTACAACAGATCAACCATTCTTTAATTTTAAATTTTTTTTATTCGGTTTGTATTGAGTGATTTGAAGACAAAATAAAAGGAATTGATTTCTCTGTATTCTAATCAGGATTATTAAAAGGAAGAGAGATGAAAAGAAATGTAAAAACATTGATTTCTCTTAGAACTCACTTTTTGAATTTCTCCCAAAGAGAAAAGAAATGAAATGATAACTAATTTTATATAATTCAAATATTACCCTTCAACTACTAAAGAAATAAAAACATAAAAAATTATTTTAGTATACTTACAGCAATTTATTTTATTTCATGTAGAGTATGCAAATAACATTGGCGAGAAATCACTATATTTTTTTTCTCTCCAACTTAACCAAATAAGAGGGAGAGAAAGCACAATATATTACGATTGGAAATTATGTTTGGTTTACATTTATTCATCCAAGAATGTGATATTACCTTGTGGAGAGTTGGAATTGAAATTTTGCTTAATTTGAAAAGGTGATTCCAAAATGAGTAATACGGTAATCATATTTCTTAGTTTATTTTTTCGCTCTATACCTATGGTAATGAGATTCATTAATAAACACACTTATGTCTAAAAGTGAAAAAAATATGATAAAAAATAAGATTATA